ATCCTTACATGTACATACGGTTTGAAGAAAAGAAATCATTCAGCTATTTTCTGAAGTTAAATTTCCTCAAAGACATACCACTATTTCAATTTTTGAATTTCTTTTTGTCAAACCATATTTAAGGATCGTTAAACTTTCCTGAGAAGACATGAAAAATTCCTTTGTATGCACTATCAAATTGTGATAAATTAATTTGTATTCAAGATGAAATATGAATGCAGTGTTTGTTTTAAGGTGGCTGATAGAGACTTCTATTGATTGTGGTTTATGGGGAGTGAGTTGCTTGCTTAGCAGCCATGATGATGTCACTAACTTCTTACATCATAGTGAGGCTATTACGCTGTGTAGACAGTTGTTGAAGGTAAGCACTATTTGGTTTATTAACGTTGTTCACTTGTAAAGATTAAAAAAACACACACAAAGTCATCTGCATAAAACGTTTTTTGAAATTCCCAGGAAGAATTTTGATTATAAACTTTAAATAAATAGTGATTTAAATGTTATTATACATTGTAAAGAATTTTGGAACGGCTTTATGTTGAATATTCTTGGAAATAGCTTAAAAGAAGGATGTGTGCAAAAAATTCTTGTTGTTTTTATGTCTTTACAACAGAACAGTGTTGATAGGAATAACTGTATGGATTGAAAAAGAAAAAAAATGATCAAAAGTTTTAGTGTGTGTAAACTTGGAAAGATGTCATTTGCAGAAAACCTCTTGAGTTAACTGGCCAAATTTGAAGGATGWACTTYAGGGAGCGAGTAAATTAAAACTTTTAGTTCTCAATACATTTCTTTGTATTTTTCACGCGCGTCACGCTCTGATGACCCTGGAAATTACAAAAAAAAAATGTGTGGAGAACTAAAAATAAATTTACTTGCCCCCTAGATCAAGTACGTCCTTCAAATTTGGCCAGCGCAAAAACTGTCACTTCAACTATTTATATTTGGTTTTAGAAGAAAGATGATTGTGGAGTCAATATGGTTAAAGAAGTCTTACTATCTCTACTGAGACATGCAGTAAATACGCAGACTGTAGACAAAGTCAAAGACATGGTACAGCTCTGTAGGTAAGGAGGCAGTTGATGTTGTTGCCAAGCAAACCATAGGCTGCCCAACTACTGCTTGAGTTAATGAGCTGCGCACGCTTTTAATTTATCGGCGCTTGCTCTTGCAAATGCGGATTACCTGTGGTATTACGTCACGATCCTGTGTCTTTGTCTGTCACAGAGATTGCATCCCGCRAGGCACKGGATCGTGMTGTAATACCACAGGTAATCCGCATTTCACTAAGAGCAAGCGCCGATAAATAAAAGCTTGCGCAKCTCGTTCTTTTCTTYTCTCGAGCAGTAGTTGGGCAGCCTATGGCAAAAGCACTAATTATATTGATTGTCATTTTATTTTTCACTAAGACTGACACAACTGTTTTCATTTTTGAATCAATAGTGAATATAAAGACGTCTGCAGTGTTCTCATTCCATGGTTATGTGAACATCTACGTGACATTGCGCGTACAAAGACAGTTCACTCCGAATCGCTGTTCTGCGCWTCAGAAGAAATGTTCAGATGCTACAAGGAGAGACTATTTCAGACAATCATTGAAAATCAGAGACTCACKAATCTCGATGGTAATATGGGACTGGTAAGTTACCTTTTATTTTGATAATAAAAACCCGATAAAAGTCTTGAATTTGGGGTTCAATCAAGACCTATACCGGGTTTTGAATTCAGTCCCGCCCTCCCCTGATGATAATCAAAGCCACCCCAGACTTCTCGAATGCAGGTCTTCCTCTAATTTTACATAAAACAATAGAATTGCTGCGTGCCTGGTAAAGCACACACAACAAGCAGATTGACTACATAGCCATCACAACACATGGTTTAAACCAATAGATGACATGTTGGTGAGATTGTATGAAACACCATATCAAGATGATGTCAGCCCATTCATGCCTTTTAGTAATTATTTTTGTCTGCAGCCACAACCGTCCTGTTTTGATAGCAGTCAAAGCAATACAGAGCCACCCACAAGTGCATATCAGCACATTCTTTAAGGCCCGTCTACACTTGCGATGTTTGCAAAGCGATTCTCGCGGCGATCGTCGCCTGAGTTTCGAACATGCTTGAAAATTGGCTGCAACTTCAAGACGATTTTCCGTCGTCACAACAATCGCGGGGCTGTTTACACGTACGATTTGACTTACGCGCTGCAAAAATCGCAAGTGTATAAACTGTTGTTTAGATCCCTATCCCAATTGACATTAGTTAATGATTGCAATCATTATGGAAAATAGTTTATATAATGCCACAAAACATTGTTCACTTGCCAGTGAAATCCCTCGTTGTCCTGGTTGGTCAGTTGGTTTACTAAGATTTRCAGACAAGACGGGACTGACATAAAATGTTCAACGTTAGCAAAAAGTATATTAATGCTAAAAAGTAGGGACCGCTTGCATGTCAAAGGCTTTACACTCTTGTACCATATACATATATGAAATACTGAGAAAGTCACCTCTGACTGGTGTTCTTGGTGAGGCAGGGCACAGGAAGCCAAAAAAGGGTGCCAGGGAGGGTTTCTATGAAAATTCCTCGAGTACTTGCATCTAACCCTTACCAGTATTAGTACACGTTTGGAGATATTTCAGTGCAGACGTTTTTTTTTGTCTTTATATGCGTTTGTTATATGATTCCATTCCAGTCTCTCAGACTATAATCATGTAAATCACTATTTTCTTYAGAGGCAGCTTTTTGCTGAAGAATCTGAGGACGAAACTGAAGAACAATGTAAACCATGTCCATTTCCTAACCCTTACATGACAAGTCATCCACATCCCTTCATTGAACTCTCATTTGAACTTGGTATGATGGGTTTGAATAGCTTGTCAAATGGAGATGTGAATTTCAAAAGGTACGTAACTTTACCTTGTTATAAATAACTCACACGAAAGTCGCTATATTAGTATTCCAGCTTGAGAAATGTTATATTTCTATTTAGAAGTGGCTATATGAGGCGTCATGAAGGACAGAGATCAAAGAGAGGGCATTTAAAGCAGCTCTGTGATCTAGTGTGTTACATAACTAACCGCAAATGGCTACACCAGTCACAAGAAGAACACAAAGACATGCCCTCTCTTTCTGGTATGTATCAATCGGTAATTATTGTATTGTTGTTATRTATATGTCCTTTGTTTACTTCAAATTATCTTTTTAAGAAGTAYATCACATAAAAATAATAATTRATAATAATAATTGGTTATAGCTAATCGCCCTTCATCGYAGCTCACRTGATCKAGTCGGTTATGCGTTATACGAGGGCGCTATAATTATGAGGACAATCACATAGTTACAACACACACACCCATATCTGATCACGRAGCACAGCTATAGGATCGAAATGTTCCGTTTTTGCTGAGGGAGGAAAAACCGGAGAACTCAGAGAGTTCMCCCTTGARCTTCCCTAAATATTCTGATATTGTTTTATTATTATTT